GTCTAACTTTTATCCATCTTCAGCATTAAATACAAATTTTTATTTAATTTATATATTGTACCTAATTATTATTATTATTAATTTTTCTTTGAATATGTTTTAAACAATTTTTAAGTTGGAATGATTTAATGATTAAAAAAACAAGCAAACTTTCACAATTTCAAGTATTCAATTAAAAAAAAAACTAGATTCTGTACTGAAGATAGTCAAAAGATAGACCAAAAACATTTCATTTCAAATAAACTCTTTAGTAATCTTAAAAATAGCAATATTTTTTCTTTCTTCATTAAAGGATGGTGCCAAAGATTTGTTTATTTTGTTTTTTGCTAGAGTTTTATTTGTGAATTAAATAGTGTTTTAAGTACAAACTAACATTGTTAGTTTCCTTTCATTATTGTTGATAGTTTTATATTTAAAATATGAATATATTGTTTACTTTAGCAAGCATAAAATTTTAAATATTAAGCTATTTTTAATTTATAAAAAAATTATTCAAATCGCTCTAGATTAAACTGAATTAAAAAAGAAAATCAAATAAAAATGTAAACAGATATTTGATATATTTTGCTATTCATCATCCATAAAAATATATTAATAAACTATTTTAAACTGATACTGAACACTATTAAATAATTCTAAACAGTACTAAGCTATTGATATAAATATTAACAATATATTGATATTAACAAAACAGGTTCAAACTACTACAGTAAGTGTGTATATTAATTGATATAAAGCAGTTATGTTTCTAGAATAATAATAAAAATCAAAAAAATTCACAGAAGAAAGTCAACATAGGTCTTTGGCATATCTAAGAATTCAATAAATAATTCACATTAAAAAATGTTTCATAAACTTAAAAAAACAAACAAATACTAGTTATTAAATTTAGATTCTGATCAAGAATGATTACAAGTGCATTCTTAATCAAAATATTAATATTTTATGAACATTTAACATTTTTTACAAATATTAATAATAGAATTAATCCAATGATCAAAATTAAGAAAATGGAAGAGAATGTTTGACTGACCAATGTGTGGTACCAAAATATTGTAAACTACATAGACAGCCACAATTGTGCTTATTATGTTGGATGGGGCTGATCTATAAAGGGTTCAACTAACATGGATAAAAAGAAAGAAAATAATGATAACTTTTACAAACTATTACATAAATTTCATTTAAAAATGCCATTTAGAATATATTTATAGAAGAATCTAATTATTATATTCTAAATAGCACTTTTAAATAAAATTTATAATATTGATACATATATACATAAACAAACAAACTGAATATTTTTCATTTAATATTTTGATTATGTAAGAAAAACTAGCAAACTAACACAATAAGAATTTTAATATCTTATATTTATATGAATTTTTTTAAGGTTATTGTGTCCAGTTCAAAAATAAAAGCATCCACACTTGTCCAATATTTATATTTTGATGAAATTATCCAGCAATTATGTAGATTTTTTTTAAACTCATGTTCTGACAAACAAGTTGACAATAAATTAAACCTTTTTATATTATTCCACGATTTGTATTCTTGTGCACAGTAAAGTGTACATAGGATTAAATGCAATTACTATTTATACCAGCAATATGTCATACAGAATATATTGATTATTATTATATAATCTTAAACATACTTAATTTATTTTAAACATAATTTTTCATAAATAGTATCAATAAGAATTGAGAATCTAAGCAGAAAATTACACACAGCATTCTATATAATACAATATTACTATTCTATATAGTGTTGCCACCTTTTCAAAATCACTGACCCGAATGACAGGTCACGATTGTTCGAACAGAAGTTCCTGACACATGCGCAATGTCATTTTACAATGCAAAGAATAGCATGCTAGATAAGTTGGCCCATAGAAGTGTACAATTGTACATGCGGAAAAAAAAGGTTGACAGGTTGCGCGCCACTCGTAAACAAACATGGCAGAATTGCAGATGAGTTTCAGTGAGTGTGAGTTCTTTCGCTGTTAAAATAGTGTAAATTTGTAAAAATATTTGCAAGAACTTTGTTTCACTGTAATTTCACAATTTCTACAAAATTCCCAGACAAAATTAATAGTTCACCCAGACAGTGAGTCAATTCCAGGACTGTCCGGGTGAAAACTGGACGGGTGGTAACACTAATTCTATATTACTACTACTATAGCGCATATTATTTTTTTGCTACATAAAAACAAAAAATAATCCGTTTTTAATAGTACAGAAAGCTTTGATATATTAAAATTTCTTTGCATTATATAAAGAAAATAAAGTAAATCATCTCTTTCTTTCAGTACAAAAAAAAATATGCACTAATGCATATCATTTCTTACCTTTACACCTCATTAAAAATTTCTCTCTTCGTGTCTTTTATAATAAATACCAATATCAAATAAAAAAACTTTGCTAAAAACAAAGACTTTACAATATTTTATCGTAATAAAGATAAAAATGTATATATATCATTTAACAATAATACTTTTATATTATATATAGCAAAATATAAATTAACTCATTTACTGCTTTAAATGTATATTAGCAACTATTTTTTCATGATATAAGTCAAAAGATCATAAATCACAAAAGAAAAACAAAATATGAACTTTATAAAAACAAATAAAAGGCAATAATAAATATTTACAAAGTAAATCAATTCTACATAAGTTAGTCATTGAAACTAGTTTTCTTACATTAAAAAGATATTCAAATAATGATTTCATTTTGAAAATTTCTTAATCACTTAACAAATTTACAGTATATTGTTAGAAGTCACCAAGAGAACTATTGCTAAAACTTCTATAAATGTGAATACACCAAAAGTATACAAAGTTATTTATTATTAAATTATTTAAATAATTAAATAAAAATTACTATATACAATTTTAAATTAAAATAAATTAATTCTTCTGTAATTCATAAAATATATCTAATGTAAAAAGTTAGCAATAAATATTAGCATATTGAAAAACAAAAGTCTGTAAAATTAAAACTTTTGTCTGGCTGTTTTGTTTTCAAATATGAGAGAGAGAAGATTTTTGTAAGCAGGCTTAAAATTATGTTTTTGTTTACAAATATTAATTTGAAAACAACAATATTACAATCCCAATGTCAAATATAAAGATTTTAAAGTCTCATTTTCATAGACATTAAATAATTAATAAATTTATTTTGAATTTTCTACAGCTTTATTTTGATAAAACACTAAATGAGATATAAATAGGAGTGAGTGAATGTGAATGTGATTTTAAATATTATAAAATCTTAATCATCAAGCTAAATTAAAATAATTGCTTATTTCCTATTATAGAAATTTTTATTCAATACACCAAAAATAGAATTTTGGCACTTCAATTAATTTCAATAATAAAATTGAAAACTTTTCGTTACAATATACACATTTCAATAAATATACATTTAAAAAAGATGAAAACTAGTTTTTAAATATAAAAGTTTAAAAATAACAATGGGTAGTTATTTCGATTGTTATCTTTACGAGAGACTTTCTTTAGTATTGACTCAAACTGCTGACAATTTATTCATTAACAGCTTGCTAAAGAGCAGAAAGTAAATTCTTGACTTTCAAAGCTAGTAGCTCGTAATTTTTGTCGAATAAGAAAAAGCAATGCTATTGTAACTTAGTACCACGTGTCCCAACTGTCTGGCATTGCTTGGGCACCTGGTAACGATAAATCCAATTTACGCCGGGCACGAGTCTCAAGCTCAAGGCCAACAACAACAAGGGTCACACCTAGCTGACGACGTCTTTCAATCAACCTTCCGTCCTACGCAAAAACTAAGCCGATTTTTATTTTAATACGGCATATTTCTTAAAATATAAAAACACGCGAACTATAATCGAAAACAAAACAAAACAAAAAGATATTTTAGACAGGAAATGACGGCTTACTCTCCAAACGGAAGTTTCTTACTGTACAACTCACGAATAATTCATGCATATTTTTTAAAATACTTATTTTCGTAAACTATTTGTGTTTAAAAAACACTAAAATATATTGAAATTCCTTTATTTGAAATTCAATTAAATAGTTTGGAACGATCGTAAATCGATTTACGAAGTGAAGCAAAAGCTTAAACAGAATTAGTATCGATACGGAAGGGGAAAAAATCGATAAGTTAAGAAAAATTAATCCGAAAATCATAATGTTAATTGAATTATAAAATAGATAAATTAAAAATATACGGCTAGAAAAGGCTGTCAAATGTAATTAACAAAGTTCTATGGGGGGAAAAAACGCATCACAAATATTAAAGAAAAAACGGGTAGGCGTAAAGCATTTCTAGTAACAAAAATAAGTTCAAGCAGAAGTTATTCGGATAGTTGGCATGATAAACCTGAAAAAGCAAAGTAGGTAATTGTTATTATTGCGTATAGCCTTCCAATCGGAAGAAAATAATTCCGATAGTCATTTCCATCAGACATTTCTATCAATTCTTTTGAAAAATTCGGAAGGATAACACTTTACGATCTCAATCGGAATAACTATGCTTTGACGGGAGTAGACATCTGTAGATGGAACATCACGAACTTTGGATCACAACCCAACTAAAAATTTCTGGGTCATCTTAGTTCGGCACGTTGCCCAGACGTAAAGGCAATTCAACAGCATGAGGTTAAGTAGTGCTTTAGCAAGTTAGGAAATATATTTTAAAAAATATTACAGAATCAATAAAATAAACGCCGTATTTCAAGAAAGAATCGTTTTTAATTAAACAACTAAAATACCCAAAAATAATTTAGCCGGCAGCGCTTGGCATTTTCAAATTACAAACACAGAATATAAGTCATTTTTTGAAAAAATAAAATTTAAAATATGTCATCCATTTCATATTTTATAAACACGTTTCAAAAATCAAAAATACTAAAATTTTTTGACGACTACTATTACATAAATGCAATCTAGGAATGCTCATCTTCCCAGCATCGCAATGTTGCTTTACCGTGCAGTTCAACTCAACTCTTACCTTGACAATGTTTACAACCCACGGTATCTCCCTCCTTGCTGCCGTCACTCGTTGATTGGCAATCTAACATGATATTACTAATAACGACAACGGCAACAACGACGAACAATGAAGAATCCACGCCGACTTTTTGACTATAGTGCTTCAACATCCATGATGGATCCGAGGAAAATCAAACAGCTGGAATGCATTGCGTCCAAGGAGAAAGCTTGTTGAGAGAGGGACAGTAAAAGAAAGAGATTGAGAAAAGGATGTCGCAACGTTCGCTAGTGCTGCCGCCCGTTGAGACGGCTAATGTTATCTGCATCTTAGCTAAAGGCAGCAGCTGATTCACTCCATTACTACATCCTAAAAATAGACTCGAAAACCTCTACCCGAACTATACACCTGCTGAGGTTGGCACCAAGTAAATTCGGACTTGCGAGACTTCACCAGTTCGGACAATGTCTGAGATACACTTGCACGACGAAGAAATGAGTTAAGAGTTTTCAAACTGGGTCTTCATTTAGACCCATCCCCGTGGCAGACGCTCATACGATCATTCAAACAAAACCTTCTTTATGATCTCAGCCAGGATAAAATGAGGCCTGGATTTTCTTTTGGACCAGATTCTGCCAACAGATGGATGGAAATAAACAACAAAATTAGTCAAAAATAAAGCAATAACGAGGTACAATTTGCACAAATTTGCTAATTAAAAGTAATAAGCGCAAAATATCTGTTAAAATTTGATTATGTTTATAATTCACAGTAAAAAGTTTTACTGGTGAACAAATTCTAATATATAAACGAACAATATTAAACTAAATCAAAGATCAAAATTGACTACATGTAATAATGCAATTTTATCTATCTTCTACGGATGCAACCTGCAAACTTAGCGATAAATTTATTTATAAATTATTAATTTTATGTATGAGAGTAAAATTCGAATATTAAAAATTCAAATAGTAAAATTTTAAATTAAAAGTTAACATTTAAAGTAAAACAACAATCTATTATGGAAATTCGGAATTGCTAGCATTTAAGAATATTTTAGTCGATTTTAAAATCTAAATGAATAAAAACTTTTCGTAATGAGAATGCAATGAAAACGTTTAGACTTCAATGAATAACTTTCTGACCTTAATTCAGTGTCATATTAGATTAAGAAAATTATAGCGACAGGAATATGATATTTTTAACCTTTTACTTTTGATTTCAGTAATTATCAATAAAATTCGACTATTTTAAGTTTGAAATGTCATAAAAATCCAAATAAAATGTCCTAAATTTCTCTTCGGAATTTTTTTTTTCACTAATCCAAACATCTCATCACATTCTGTGAATGATAGAGAAGCGAAGGGAGTGCAATATCGCTTCCTCTTCGCTTCGTAACGAGTCATTGCCCCCTCTCTCCACAGCTTAACACTGAGAATGTAATCTGTTTCAACAGTGACATTATTTGTTGATTTACTTGAGTCCGAATGTTTTTTTTTCTTCTTTCCTTTTCAGAAGCGTCCGAACTGCATCTTTTTATTATTACAGAGGTTACTGGCCTTCGAAATGCAATTTCTGGCGGTGTATCCCGTCTTCAATCACATCGTTGACACTTTTGGGGAAAGCAACAGCTTAAACGTCGTTTATCATTATGTAATGAAATGAAAAATAGAACAAATAGGGTGACTTGTGGTTAGAATAAAGAATTGAAAAAAGGAAGAAAGAAGAAAATTTATCTAATAATTCCGAACTATTCCAAACGAAACGTTTGAAAATTAGGAGGAGGATAGAAATATGTTCGCGTTCCGGAGGGAGGTGAGGTGTGGAAAGAGGTGGCTGGCATCGCTCCAGACACGTTATATTTAGTAGATTTAACTACAGCAGACCTTGGAGACTGGTACTGTACTATCGAACGATGCCTTAACGCAAGGTTTTACACTACTCTCGGTTTGTACAAATTTTCTACGGCCTTGTCACGTGCGAAGCCGACGAACAACTGCTATCAATCTCGATTATTTGCTAGATGCGCTTGATATGACTCGATAAACAGTCCGACGACCCCCAAAGAAAAAAGAAAAGTATCAGAGTTATTTATAATCGTTCAACGATGAGTAAAATATCAGATATCGGTGGAATTTACACATATCCCAATTTTTAAATTCAGCATCGCCTGCATGAAAAGTGACAACACGTGAATATAAGATTACAGCGCCATCTAATATCCAGAAAGAACATTATTCGAATCTGTTCCAGTCAATGAATGGATTCGAACCAGAATTTTTTGTTATAGACTAATCAGATTTTTAAGTTAACAACTGAAGACTTTGAAAATATAGAAATTAAAATAAATTTCGCTAACACACACACACAAAACCAACGGATTTTACTAAGCACATCAAATGCACAAATATGGAAAATCAAATACAGAACAGAGAAAGCGAAGTGGAACGCAATTAAATCGATAGAATATGTGAGAAATATTAATAAATGAAAATATCGGGTGAACAGGTCCAGTTTTTTTAACCTGTTCTAGAATTAAAATGTCAATGTTTCGACATCGACAAAGTCTAAGTGATTTATTGCCATTAATCAATCATTTCAATTAAATATCACATAAATACGTTGGGTTAATGACTTTCATATCGCATCACGTTGCCTTTAAAAACAAAATACAATACTTTAACGTTTTACACTTGACTGAGTACAGTTTGAAACAGTACAGGTGTTCACTTACGTACAAACGACACCGAACTATCTAGCATAACAGATGGTCGCGTACATGCAAGTTTCGAATAAAGTATTAAAAAAAACATGAATATTTTGATAGTAAATAAGCCTAAAGTCGGTTTTAAAACGAAGAGAATTGAAACATTTGTTTCGGTATTCTCCGTTTTAACAAAAAGGCAGTAGGTTTGTCTATCAGTTCAGTAAGTGATAATCTTTAACATTAGATATATCGGTCAATGATTTAAAGGGGAGCGGCGTCTCCCTTTCCTGTTTTTGAGATGAGTCATGTTTATTCTCAAAACAAAACTAAGAATCTCACAATAAGAATGCAGTATTATGCGGCCACGTGCGATTATTAGTTATATGCGATTTTTAACACGAATGCATTTAGAATGTTTGCAGCAACATCCTTTAGGACTTAGGCGTTTATGATAATTTAAATGGCAAACTCTTTATAAATAACTAAGCAGGGAAAGGTGCAATTTTTGTAAACGAGGATAGAATGGAGTAACTGTGCCTGTGGGAAACGACACAATAACGAGCCATCTATTGTGTGAGAGGTTGGCGCCAGTGAAACCAGGACACCATCTGGTGGGTGCCGAATTGACTGCATAATAATTCGTAATCTAACGACTGTGTTGTAAAAAATCATCCCGTAAACAGTAGCCTTATTTCTGATTAAAAAAACAAATAAAACTACCGAAAGTAATGTGTGGCTAGAAGACATACGGAAGAGGAAAAAAATCGAATATATTAAATGCCCCCATCTAGCATTCGGAGTCTGAGGTCATTACAACCAAGTATAAATCAAAATAGATCCGATACATAGTCACGCAAGAAGACAATAATAGCTCTGCAACAAGAGTGTACCGCATTTATATTCTTTCTATTCTCAGATAAGGATAAAAAAAAACAATTTCAATAAAGAGAAATCAGAGTCGGGAATGTAACTTTGCTAATTTTCGAGTTATTGCTTTGATTAAATGGTTTAATTAATAATCGAATCGTGATCTAGAAATAAGTCATTCCGCACATGAAATATTTCGAAAACATCAAAATGACTTATCAGGAGATAAGTCTTTATAGTAATTTATTTTCATTCTGAGAAGTGAGAAGGCAAACAAATGTTAAAACTTTTCGCGTTTGGATTGAACGGAAAGAAATTTAGCTCAATTTCTAAAGAATTACGTGATGTGATTAGATATGAGTCTAGAAAAATTATACAAAAATCGTCCTAGTAACGAAAGATTCGATACGAATATATTTTGATAACGTCATATATTAAAATCGATGACGAATACGAAGTGTGTAATGTTTCCGCACTTCTTTGTTCATTACGTATAAATGAAGTACTTCCGGCTCTTCAAACAATCATGCTTTAATTCACGGATATCTGAACAATACTAATAGTAACATTTTATAAATTATAGTCGCAAATTTCCTATCTGAACAAGGTCAAATCGGAAAAATAAATTGCTAAAAGCGTAATAAGTTATTTTCGTTTAGCGTCCATAAATAAATACGGTAAAATTACCTGTGTTAGAAAATTTAATCAATACATTTTTTTTTAATATTCACCCGCTTATAACAAAATCTTTCGATGGAAAATATTGTATAATACCAATTTTCAATAATAATAATAAACAGAGACTATATTGTTTATATTACGACTGTCGAATGTTTACAAACAATTAGCAATAAATGATAAAAATGATACAAGTGTTCCCAAAAAATCAAGTTTTAAGAACCAGTTATATCCAGTTTAGATAAATCGTGTTTGATATGAAGATAATCCATAAAACAAGGAAAATTTCATTTTTAATTAATAGTCTAAGATTGTTTTTTAATTAGCAAACTACATATTTTTTATTGATATATTCAAATGTGATATAAATTCGTTTCTCATACATTTTACTGTAAAATTCAGGGAAGAGAATATTTTTACTGTCATCAAAATTGCAATTTCATTCGCTTCGGTTAAATTTTTTAAACAGTTTTTTGGGGAGGGAATTTATATTCTAACGTGAACACACACAAGAAAGTGCTCAAAGTCAAAAAAAATTCCTGAAAATTATGACTACATTTTTACTGTAGCACAAAATATTAAATGATGATGAAAGTTTGTATTTAAGTAGTAGATGTCATTAAAGCTTTTTTAACATAAAACCTCACGAAGCACTATTAAATTTATAAAAAAAAAATTCACTATTTTCAACTTTTATTTGAAATATCAGTTTCCTTTATCCTTTAATAATTAGAAAAAGTTTTGGCAGCTGAATTTTACTTCAGAAGGAAATGTTAAGTGCCATAATGGAAATGATTTGAAAACTTTTGTTCAATGAACATAATAACTACAAAAATAACTGAAATCTTTAAATACAATATAATGCCAGGGAAGATATGTTAGAATATAGTACCATCATATTTCATATAAAATCGAATCAAAATTTATATTCGAACATAAATATTGAAATTTTGTTCGATAAATTTAAGTAAAGTGATAAATACGTCATTAAATTCGAATATTTATCATCAATTTTAATCCAATACTGAGTAGGAAACTATCGTCGTTATTGTTCTTTTTGCTTTCTTTTTCAAATCATAACAACCCAGTCCTCCTACTCACCAATTACTATTATTAACGTTCCGTTTTACCGCTGCGACACATTTCTGACCTAGAGGCAATTTTTGATCATATTTAATCTTTGCCCCACTTATCAGTAACCTTGTTAAACTTCTTGCCCAATATTAAACAACGTTAAGAGAGACTCACTTCTGAGATCTCTGCAAACTGTGCTATTCGCCATCTGAAGCGTTTGTCGTCTTTCCAGTTCGAGTTTTTTTTTTTAAATTATAATTATTATTTAGCTACTTTAAAATTAGCTCATTTCAAATTTTTCACGTATCGTTATCATTTACAAATGTGTAATTTTTCCTCCCAAAAATTAAGTTTTAGCCAATTTTCCGAATCTATTGTAAAAGTTAAATTATATAAAATGTACATAAAATTTTCATATTTCAAATTCCTGTAGTTATAAATTTAAAAAATAATTTTAAAAGACAAATTTCTGTTATTAAAAGTAATGATTTTCTAGTTTGAAAAATGGTTATATAAATATTTTCATAATAATTTTTAAATAAAACAGAATTCTTTAACATAAACTCAAGTTATAAAATTACATTAGTCGATCTTCATGGGTATTAAATTCATTGAGAGTTATAAATAATTGATTGATTGAACATTTAAATAACAATATCTTATCCACATCAAATTCAAAAATAGCGCTGATAAGTCAATCCAGATATATTTCGTTATTAATTTACTTTCATTATCCAAAAATCTATAATTTATCAAATACCCTTTAGAATTGAATCACGGGATAAACAGATTTTAAAACATCTGTTGTTTTGTCTGGATTTTCCAGTGTCTTTAAATTCGA